AATTAAATTAGTTTGTGGTGATATACATGGTCAATTTTATGATCTAATGAAATTATTTGAAGTTGGTGGTAATCCATCATCAACTAAATATCTTTTCCTGGGAGATTATGTTGATCGAGGTTATTTTAGTATCGAGGTTTGTTTTTTTGTTTTGCTCAAATTTTAATCCTTTTTTTAATTTTTATTTAAAAAACATTATAAATTCTAATTCTAATTTTTAATTTTCTTCTTTATTTCATTTACTTCCCTCATAAATACAGTGTGTTCTTTATTTATGGTCATTAAAGATAACCTATCCAACAACGCTCTTCCTATTGCGTGGCAATCATGAATGTCGCCATTTAACCGAATATTTTACATTCAAAACTGAATGTAAGTATTATTAACACTTAGTGAACAATAAAAAAACTAATTTAATTAAAAATGACCCTATCCGATGTGATAATAATATGTAGTAAATGATGGTGCCCAAAAACTTGGCTGTGAATAAGAATTCTTGATGAAAGCAAATGAAAAATTCTTGACACATACACACACCAAACACCCACATACATGGAATTCAAATTCTTTAGTTTTTCATTGCTGTTGTTGATTCTTTCTTTTTAAAAAAATCAATCACGTTTCAAAAAAAAAACGAAAAAATTCATTTAAAGAAAATCCATTTCATTTGATTTTCTTATTCAGCTTTTGTTTATCATGAAAATTATAGCGGTTGTTTTGTTTTGTTTTTTTTCGATTTCTTTTTTCTTCACAATTTAAATTTTCTCCCTTATATTTTTTGTTCCCGGTCACATAACATTCAATAGTCAGATATGTGATCTGAAATACTGAATAACTTTTTTTTCGTTCGCTCTTCAACAGATATGGCCAGTGTATTTTTTTTCGAAATCATCATTGTCCATCAATTGCCATTAGACTTGGTGTGTTTCTTGTTTCTAGTTTGAAATGAACAGAATTTTATTAAATTTTCTTCAAAAAATTAAAAAAAAATTCTTCTGAAAGGCAATGCTGGAGCTTTGAAAATTTCATTTTCATCACATTTTTTCCCAATGTTTTGCTCTTGATTTGATTATTTTACTAATACCGGAATTGGCAATGTGAAATTGAAAATTTTAAATTGAAATATAGTAAGATTGAAAGATTACGAAAATTCCAGAAAAAAACAAAAACAAACTAACAAAATCATAATTATATGAAGGGGGAATAAAGTAATGAAATTAAACTGTAGCGTGTTTGAAATAATTAATTATCTGGAC